CCGACCACACGAAGGATTGAAAGGCGTCCGCCCGGTAGAATCTCCATTTAAAATTCATTCACCACTTTCACAAAGAAATGCTTCGTGTCGATTTTTAATTTGAAGTCCACGTTCTTAATTTTAACTGACTTGTCCTCCCTTCATGCATCATCGGTCTCCACCTGTTAAAACAGGCGGGGAACTGAAGAAGAGAAAATTGATTTTCACTCATGCCCCGGTGTAAATTTTGCTGATGTGGACTTCTCAGATGCACCACCTTTAGTCAGAAAAGCATTTGTTGGAAATGCTCAGCGACAGGACAAAAGCCTTAGAGCACATCAGGGCTCACAGATCAGCCCAAGAAAATGTAAAGCAGGTACTCTCAGAGTACTACTTCCAGAAAATAGCCAAGTTAGCGAGTGAAATCGTCGCTAAGTGCAAGACTTGCGCTCAGGCAAAATATGACAGGCATACCATCAGTCCCATCTCAGGTAGGAGAAATGCTACATATAGACATTTTCTCCACAGACAAACAATATTTCCTTACGTGCCAATTTTCTTTAGAACCATAGAGGATCTCAAGCCGGCACTACTGCACTGACCAGGAGGAGCCCACCGAGACCGCGATTAAAGCCATAAGTCAGTAGCGTCCGTTAAAATCCTACAATCCTACTAGCACACTCTTTTATTAAATTTTCTAAAATTAAGTCAGCCTTCAATAAGATTACTGTTAATCCCGTGTCGCATCACGACACCATTCTCAGGCTGGAAGATATCGTGATAGCGGAGTGAAATGGGGAGATCCACACTGTGAAGAAGTGCTCCATAACACCAGGGGCTACGTTTTGCCAGCTGGCGCTAAGAAGATCGTGCGCCCAGGAGCTCTACGCTGGAGGCACTGCACATTGCGATATCCAGCAAAGTGCATCCCGCTACTAACGTTGACGATGGGATTGTCATTGTAAACTGCGGCACAGCCATAGAGTAATGAACTATATAGAGGCGCCAATTGCTCTGCCGCTCTCTTTAGATAATGAGGCTATGATGCCACCTAGGCGAAAAAAGCTTATTTCCCCTCTTTTTCAAAGTTCGATCGAACTTGTAATTCATTCCCACCTCATTCTGCACCGCTCTTGCTCACTGTTTTGTTTTTGTAATTAATCGTAAACCCTATTGCTGTTGCTTTGCACCTAAGTTAGCTTCAAACTTGGCCTTGAATTGGCTCTTAGCAGAGGTTGGGCAGAGGTTCGGGCAGAGCAATTGGCGACTCTATATAGATTCTTACTCTATGGCCCCGCTAAAAGATATGATTGCCCAAATAGGGTCGGAAACCTCATTCCTGAGGGGGGGTAGTTAACTAAGTTAACAGGGCGACGGCGATGGCCGATCGTCCGAGAGTTCGCTCCGGCTAAACTGCTGACATACCGGCAAACGCACGAAGAAATTAAAATCTGTCCGATTGTTTCGAGTGATAAATCAATCGAAAGGTGTTGCAAAAACTAAAAGGATTGCTTATGAATACCTTAAAAAAATCAATTGGTTTGAGAGAAAAAGCGGTGAAAGTGTAAACATGAAAACTTAGAAAATGTGATCTGTTGGAGCCGGTGCGGATCAATACCCCCCGTTACTAACGTACTTGTATTTTCACTTTAACGCGTTTAAAAGTATTACGCAATACAACATTTTGGGGGACATCTCAAAATGAAAATTTTATTTTGTCAGTTTGTCAGGTTGTTCCAAAACGTTACTCTAGAGTCCTTAAAATTATAGACGATGTTAAACAGCTCAATACTAGAAACATTAGGTCTACCACTTTTGGAAAATCTAGCTAGTTTGGCGAGAAAAAAGATATAAATAGCTAAATTTTGTACACTCGTAACTTTTGAACTACTAAAGCTAGTATTTAATCAGTTTATCTAAGCTTTTTTTCTGATTCCTCAAAAACGGCTCTACCGCTTTTCAATTAAATTTTTTTGTGTATGGCCCTTGTAAATTCATATTTTTTTAAAGATTTTTTTGTGATTCCCCAAAAACAAAAGTTCATATCAGAACCTTTGTTTGCTGATGGTGCGATCGTCACTGGATTTTTACCTCGTTAAGAGGTGTTATGGAAAATTTATCTAGTTTGGCGAGAAAAAAGCTAAAAATTGAACACCCGTAACTTGTGAACCACCAAAGATACAGGCTTGTGCTATACATTGTTAGAAAGGTATTTTGAATTGCTTTGTACGCCTTTCTGACATGATTTGCCTAAATACCACCGTTTAAAAATTATGGGAAAACGTTTTGTAAATTTTTTTTTTTTGAAGATTTATTTCTGATTCATGCTCTAGCGACTTCAAACTAAAAGTTAATAGTCAACAAAACACAAATTTCAGAACATCGAACACTGTCTGCGCGTTGACCTTTTTTGTGCGTAGCCAAACTCTATTTTAAGGTGCTGGAAATTTAAGACGATGTTAATCAGCTTACTATACGAACCTTTAGTTCTACAACTTTTGGAAAAACTCGTTAGTTTGGCGGAAAAACAGCTATAAATTTTAATATTTAGTAAAAGTAAAAATGTAAAAAAAATATGAAATTGTATTCATTTAGTAGATCGTATAATAAATCTTTGTCACAAAAGTTGATATCATATCTTTTGTTGCTGAAGGTGCTGTCGTCACTAGATTTTTACCTCGTTAATATGTGTTTTGGTTTGATACCCTTGCATTCTAGGAGTAACGGCTATAAACTACATAAGATAAGAATAGAAAATGGACACCGAAATTCAGATAGTAAAATAACTATAATGAAATTTTCATATATTGTATTGTTTTATTTCGTGGGCAAGCTAATAGTAATATCACAATTTAAATCAAGAAAGAACGCTATAGTCGAGTACCTCGACTATCAGATACCCGTTACTCAGCTAAAGGGACCAAAGAGAAATGGAGATATAGAAGCAGCAAAGCGAGATTGAAATGCGACACCTACCCGTGATCTCAATATATGGTTATGTGGGCGGTAGACGGATTTATGCCTTATGGGCGTTAAAGTGGGCGTGGCAAACGAGACTAATACATTTCAGTTGTGGGCGTTAGAGTGGGCATGGCATATTCGCGTAACAAACATGCGCTGCTTACAGGGCTACGAAATCCAAATCAGAAATCCCTAATAGTTTCCGAGAAAAATATTGACTAATATGTATAAATCTCGTCAATACCTATCGATTGATCCAAAAAAAAGTTTGGCACGCCCACTCTAACGTCCACAAACGACTAAAGCACTAAGACTCGTTAGCGCCCACATTTTGTAATATTTTGTAAAAATTTATATTAAAGCTTGTTCCTATTATCAATATCTATCTACATGCCATAAAATAATGAAATCGGACCATTCATTATAAGTTATAACCAAATAATAATCAATATTTTGCAATTCAATCGAGATTGCACACCACATGCAGCAAATAAGCTGTTTTCACTAATACGCCACCAAGCCGCTAGGGGTGCTATAGGCAAGTTGGCACTGCAGGCAAAGTGGCGCTAAACAAGATGACAGGTGGCGTTATAGGCTAGGTGTGTTAGTGAAAAAAGCTGAGTTGCTTTAAACATAGCTCCATCCCTCTCGCACTCTCTTAAGCTGAGTAACGGGTTTCTAATAGTCGAGGCCATCGGCTATAGTGCTCTCTCTTGTTTGTTTGCCACACTCGTTCACTAGTCGAGTACCTCGATTCCCGTTACTCAGCTAAAGGGACCAACGGGAAATGGAGACATGCAAGCAGCAAAGCGCGACTGAAATGCGCCACCTACCCGTGATCTCAATATAAGGTTATGTAGGCGGTAGACAGATTTAGGCGTTATGGGCGTAACAGTGGGTGTGGTAAACTTTTTTTGGGACAATCGATAGGTATTGACTAGACCACTACATTTAAATTAAAAATTGTTTTAGCATATAAATTGTGGGCGCCACAGGCTTAGGCGGTTTGTGGGCGTTCGAGAGGGCGTGGGAAACTTTTTTTGGATCAATCGATAGGTATTGACGGGACTAATAAATTTCATTTAAAATTTTTTATCTATCATAAAAATAATGGGCGCTACAGGTTTGGACGGAATCTATATCTGAAATCCCATTTCTCAATCTTTGAAAGTTTCCGAAATATCTGCGTTCATACTTACGGTTGTTCTAAGTTTAAAGTTTTTTGAGCGTTGCAAATATTTTTGGTCAATCGATAGGTATTGATGAGAACAATACAATTCATTTAAAATTTTTATTCTATCATCAAAACTGTAGGAGCCAAAGTGTTGGGGGGCTTGTGGGCGTTAGAGTGGGCGTGGCACGCTGCTGAAACAAACTTGAACTGCGCAAGAAGCTCAGGAATCTTCATGCCAATAGCCTAGCTCTAATAGTTTCCCAGATCTCAGCGTTCATTCGGACGGACGGACACGGCTAGATCGACTCGGCTAGCTGATCAAGAATATATATACTTTATGGGTTCGGAACGCTTCCTTCTGCCTGTTACATACCTTCCGACGAATCTAGTAAACCCTTTTACTCTACACGTAACGGGTATAAAAATATTTTAATATTCTTTAAGTGTATTTATCATTAACCGTACATGAAAAGATTAGCAAACCAAAGCGTTCAAAAGCTTATCTTACTCAATAACCAGTATTTAAAGTAGCCATCTATAAAATATACAGTACACTAATATAACTCAATTTAGTTTTAAGTATTTTCGTTATATTTCCGTGATGGTAAGAGCTTACAAGATGTAATTAACGTTTGCTAATGTTGCTAAGTATTTATTTATTAACTGCGATATAAGTTAAATATTTTAAATTATATTATAGATTATAATTAATTTAATACTCTTATATGCTATAAATATATTGCATGCCATTTAAAAAAGTTCTTAGATCGATCGCATTACATAGCAATTTTTTGAATTTATTTGATTGATTTGATTTATTTTTATGAACTATTAAACCAAAAAAATATGTTATTAATATATTATAAATGATTACATACATTTTAAGGTCGATCTGAGGCACATGGATGAACAACAGGGCAGCAACGTAGTGGACGTTGGTGTGGACTTATCTGAATTTTACATGTCTGTGGAGTGGGATATTCTGGAAGTTCCAGCTGTAAGGTAGGTAAATTGAGATAAGGCGATTACTTCGAAAAAATGTCTATGCCGGGATTATTTAAAAATAATAATACCATGGAATATGTACGTTATAACGTACATGTGTCGTTCTTTTACAGACCGAACGGTTTTTTTTTCTTTTCTGATTTTTCTGAAATTATATTTTACAAGTAATCTTCGTCAAAAAATAAACATGCTTTTAGATAACATTTTATAACGTTCCGTTAACGTTTTCGGAGAGCGAGATATTCAGAATTAATTGTATTATTTTTTGTTATTCGCCTATCCCGGTTTTTTTTTTTGCATAGGCAACTATAGGTGGGCAAAAGTAGGGTCTTGGTTGTTTCTTTGGTAATTGTTTTGTATGTTTTGTATGTATGTGCATATTAAGTATTTTCTTGCCTGTCGTCGATGAAATATTAATCTAACATAGAACTCGAGTAGAGATTGATGTAACGCAGGCAGTTCTCACGGAAAAAAACTGCCGAGTTGCAGGCCATATCCGGTGGCCTGCACGCGCATCAAGGTAATAGCTGACCGCGCGCCCCGAGTGCAAATGCCCGGAGCCAGACTGGAGTACTCGCGGAGCGAGTGATCGCCACGGGCTGGGACAAAAACGCTGACCCGGCACCTTGGCGACAGCGCTGCAGGAAGACTAAGGCCTCGAGCTGCAGCTGGATAGGAGTTTAAGATTAGTCGTAATTGGTACTCCAGAGCGATAGCTCTTTTTAAACATAAAAATAAAGCCTATGCCCTAACGGGCGTACGGTAAAATAAAGAAACATAAATAAATTAACAACGTACGCCTAACGGGCGTACGGTAAAATATAGAAACATAAATAAATTAACAACGATTCTTATAATTTGTATATACAAACTATTAGGAAGTGACAAGCGATTCGTTTTTTGAATGCCACTTTCGCAAAAATTAACATTTAAAGGCCTAAAGGAATAAAGTTCCGGACATCTATTGAGCGTGCTCCTGTAAAAGTTCAATGGCAAAATTCCAGCGGAGTTAAATACTTCAGCTCTTGGCGTCAACAAATATTCAAATGTGATTTATTATCCTTCTAGCTTTGGGGCACCAGAAAACCAATACATGCCATGAGAGTGCGGCGATCCTCTGTGCTGGACCTCGATCCTTCAATAATAATGGACAAGTCTTAACTCACCAAATGTCTCGGAGCTTTTAAATAATTTCATTAATTGCCGGAACCTGTAGTCGAAGTACCGGGAGCACGTTACTGGGTCAGATCGAATTCATCTAGCTTTTTCGGCGCTAGAAAGAGCTGCTGCCTCTTCTTCAGTAATGTCTCTGCTATCCAATAAAAGAGATAGAATAACTAAGAGTTCGTTCCATTTAGATTCAACAGCAGAGAGAGTTATGAAGAATGTAGGCAACCCAAATTGTCTTATCATGGCTATAACTTTTTCTTTCTGCCTCCCAGTGTGCTGGAGCTGAACGGAGTCCTTTTAGAATGTGAAATCCATCGTCATGTTGTACAAGACTGTCATCAAATTAATTATCCCTCACATTTTCAGCAGTTACTGCACCTGATTTTTTTCGTAGGGCAATGGAAATAGAACTTTGAATTCGTTGCATTTCATAAAATTTGTACATATAAAGGACTTTGGGCACTACTGCCCAAAAAGCGTACAAGCGAATTTGCGATCTAGCTTTTTTAGCATAGGTCGAATTCCCCTTAAATACTTCCCGGTCTTCTCCGGGAGCCATAGCAATACGCTCACTATCATCGTTTTCTAATAGGGTTTCATGACCTCCGGGATTTAAATCTCCTTCTTGCTCGTCATTTGATTGAGAATGAGAATGTTGACGAAGAAGCTCTTCTACGATTTCTCGGTCAGATTCATCTGCGATGAAAGGTATATCTTCTTCGGCTCCCATTTGATTGAGCCAATCACCGTCAAAGAATATGTTGTGCTTTCTGTAGAGCTCAGTGTTAACCAAGTATCGCACAGCTTGAATAACCCGAGCGGGTCGAATAGTTTCCGTCATGAAATTATGGGAATATTCTAACTTCCTCTTTAAATGAACCTGGATTACATGGGTCGAATCAAAGGTGCGCGGGAGTACGCTTACAGTATCAGGTACTGAAATTGGAACATTTACTACAGCGCCTTTTATTCCGCTATCCAAGGGATATAATGCGCATGAAGGGAATTCGAGGAGAAATAAGACACTCCTCAAGACATGTCAAGTTTTTAAGGCAAAGGGATAGTATCCTACCTTTGGAAACGCCTTGCCGACATGTACTGCAAAATTGATATTTGCCGGACGGACTCGGAAACTTTATACTTAAATATATGGCATTGTCTAGACCTAAGTTGGGGTACTTAGAAGAAATAGTACGTATGTTCAAACCACTTACCTGAGATGGAAACCACGTTCCTTTTCTTTTACGAAGATATTGTTCCCTTGCCGTAGCTCGACTCCTCCGTCGCTGGCGTTCCCGTTGATCCTCTCGTTCATCCTCCGAAAGTTGTGCTCTTGCAGCAATATTGGGCTGTGACTGTCTGGAAGATTCCGCCTGTCGATTTTGTGAACTCGACCTGTATGTGAGAAGTCGCTCGTCAGCCATTTCCTGAATTTGTTGTTCCCGAAATCTTTGCTGAAGTCTTGTGTTCCGATGATGCACTGTGTTGGTCCTTTGCTCCTGTGTCCTAGTGATCCTATGAGCTGCTTCGTCCCGTAAATGCTCGAGTCCTCTATTTTCCTCGATCTATCTCCAGGAAGCATGATCAGCAGTGTTTCGCGACTGCTCTCGTCGTCGCTCCTCGGAATCCGACCTGACTTTTGCATGCGCGACAGCGTCCCTTGCGCGCTCTGGTCCTCGATTTTCCTCGATCGATCTCCACGTAGCATGGTCAGCAGTATTTTGCACCTGCTGTCGTCGTCGCTCTTCGGAATTCGACCTGGCGCTTGCGTGCACTGCAGCGTCCCGTGTGCGCTCGAGTCCTCCATTTTGCAGGTAGCATGATCAGCAGTGTTTCGCGACTGCTCTCGTCGTCACTCCTCGGATTCCGACCTGACTATTGCGCGCGCTACAGCGTCCCGTGTGCATAAAATATCATTCAAAGACCTCCCGTTAGACGTTTTGCACGAAGCGTCGTATACGACGCGCATCTTTTTAGTTAAACTGTCGTCTTTGATCACAGCATGATGTGGAACGGTGCACGCAGAGATTGAGAGTTGCCTTTGAGCGTTGATCCTAGTGTGTTCTTCCTCACTATTTTTTACCTCTTTTATCTGCTTTAGATCAAAGTACTCTTGAATAGTGCCGGCATACTGTTGACTGAAATCTGGCCGATGATTAAGTTTCCTTTCCAGGGCGTGGAAACGGTTTATTGCGATTTGTCTTGACCGGCCGATCACCTGTGTGGGGTCAAACAAAGTTTTTAAAGGCAAACGAACTAGATATTTCCCATTGGGCTGACGGATATGAGTTTGTTGAAAATGGTCTTCACACCATTTTTCCTCTGAGTTGAGTTGTCGTGTTGTGGAGACCTGATCCAATTCGAAAAACCTCTGTACCATGTTGTTTAGGTTTGCCAAATTACAACGAATGGAGATTGATGTCGTCTGGGCTGCTTCAGCTGGTCCAAAAACTATCCAGCCCAGCTGTGTGTTTTGTGCAATTGGTTCTGCAACCGTCCCTTTGCGTATGTCCGGAAGCATTAATTGCGGGATAATGTCGACACCGATAAGTAGGTCAATGCGACCCGACTTGATGAAATTAGGATCTGCAAAGGATAACCCTTGGAGATGTTTACAGGACTTAACGTTTACATTTTGTTTTGGTAAATGACCTGTTAGTGACCGAAGGATGAAGGCTGAGGGTACGTAGGCATTAAAATCCGATCCTGAACATGAGATTATGGTGAAGTCGGTGCTGTGCCTGCACTGATTATGCGAAGTATTACCAATTCCCGTGATCTCAGCTCGAACAGGATGCCGTTTGAGTCTAAGCGCTTGAACGATGTTTTCCGTGATGAGGGTGCCTTCCGAGACATGGTCGATGAGAGCTCGAGCTAAAGCTGACTGCCCAGTGAAGTTATTTACGATCCGAACCAGTGCAGTAGCAAGAAGGGTCGTTGAGTTCAGATGGGAGGCAACTGCGCTGAAGAGTTGCGTTGATGGTGCATTTTGTACCGCGTCTGCGCTCCGACCAGAGTCTGAAGTATGCTGTCGGGATACTCCAGGAGTCAATGAAGGACTTTGTTGAGCATTCGGGAAATGTAACAAAGTGTGGTGCCGTTGACCACATTGCGAGCAGTTTCGGTTGCTGCTGCATTGACTGAGAGAATGGGAAGCACTAAGGCAATTGATGCATGCCTTCGAGCGGTCGACTATAACCTTTTGCGCGAAACAATCCTTGGCAAGGAAGTCCGGGCACCGTCTTAGAACGTGATTCTGTTGGCAGAGCGAGCACCTGATGGATCCAGACTAAAGAGTACTGTGGAAGCTGTGTCCCCTAACAGTGGAGTTTCCCGATGGTCTGGTTGTCTGGCGATGGTTGGTCGATTGTATAGATGATCTAACTGGAACGGCTGGTTTCCTACTCTCGATTAGGTCGATGCTGACCAATCGATTGTGAAGAAACACCTCCAGCTTTGTGAAGGTGGGGATTTCCACGTTGTTGCCCAGGGAATGTTCCCAGGCCTGTGTTGTGCTGATAGGCAGCTTTGTGAGTAAGTGATGTACCAACCAATGATCACAGGAATCAATGGCAATGTGTAGTCGTCGGAATTCACTAATACATACATTTGCCAAGTTTAACAAATTCCTAAGGTCCACCGCGATCTCCTTGGACAGTGGCTCGATTCCGTACAGTGCATTCATATTGTACATGAACTGCAGTCGAGGGTTGTTGTATCGTTTTACCACAAGGTTCCATGCCACTGAATAGTTGGTTTCTGTTAATGCCATATGGTTTATATCCTGGTCTCGCCTGTGCGGTAGTGCTTGCTTCAAGAAATGAAAT